AGTCAACACAGTCAATGGGGTCAACGTGGACTCAACGGGGGGTCAACTGGGTCAACGTTGGGTCAATGAGGTCAACGGGGTGTCAATGGGGTCAACGTGGTCCACGGGGTCAATGAGGTGCCAACGGGGCCCGCGATGGCCAACGCTGGCCCAACGGAAGACGTCCCCTCACCCGTAGACCATGAGGCTCTTCTCGACGCGGAAGCAGTCGGTGCGGCCGTAGGGGCCCCCCCCCCCGCCGCCCTGCTGGGGGGCGGCGCCGCCGTGGGGGGGTTGGTGGTGGTGGTGCTGGTGGTGCCGGCGGGTGCCGCGGGCGTTGCCGCCGCCGCGCTCCAGGCGCTGCTCCAGGTCGTCGTCGCTCTCCAGGTCGGAGAACTCGACCAGGTCGTCGTCGCGCAGGGTGCTGAAGTGGCGCGTCTGCTTCCGCACCCGCGGCGTGTCGATCACCAGCGTGTTCTGAGGGGGGGGACACGCCCGCTTTGAGGCCTCGCCCAGAGGGTGGGGACACGCCCCGGCCACGCCCCGGCCACGCCCCAGGGAGGTCCCACCTTGCTGTTGAGCAGCTCCAGGTCCAGGTCGGCCTTTTTGGCCCATTTCTGCCAGAAGTTGGGGTCGTCCAGCGCGATGTCCGGGCGGTTCTCCGACGCCACGAAGCTCGCCTGGCGGAAAAGGGGGCGTGGTCACGTCAAAAGGGGTGGGGTCAGGGTTAAAATGGGCGTGGTCAGGGTGAAAAGGGCGTGGTAATGTCGAAAGGGGTGATGGTGCTGCTCCCTCATCAGTTAATTAATCCCTAATTAATTAATTACCTTGGCGAAGGTGGATCCCTTGCCCTCGCTCTCGATGGTGATGGTGGTACTCCCTCATTAACTAACATTTAATTAATTACCTTAGCAAAGGTGGATCCTTTACCCTCACTCTCGATGGTGATGGTGGTGGTCCCTTGTTAATTAATCAACACCTAATCAGTTAATTACCTTGGCGAGGGTGGATCCCTTTCCCTCGCTCTCGATGGTGATGGTGGTGGTCCCTCATTAATTAATTACCCATTTAATCAGTTAATTACCTTGGCAAAGGTGGATCCCTTGCTCTTGCTCTCGATGGTGATGGTGGTGGTCCCTTGTTAATTAATCAACACCTAATTAATTAATTACCTTGGCGAAGGTGGAGCCCTTGCCCTCGCTCTCAATGGTGATGGTGATGCTCCCTCATTAATTAATTAATCATTAATCAGTTAATTACCTTAGCAAAGGTGGACCCCTTTCCCTCGCTCTTGATGGTGATGGTGGTACTCCCTCATTAATTAATATTTAATTAATTACCTTAGCAAAGGTAGATCCTTTGCCCTCGCTCTCGATGGTGATGGTCCCTCATTAATCAATTAACACCTAATTAATTAATTACCTTGGCGAAGGTGGACCCCTTGCCCTCGCTCTCGATGGTGATGGTGGTCGTCCTCCGCAGCAGGATCTGGTCGATGTCCTCCTCGCAGAACTTGGCGCCCTCGTCGTCCTCGTCCATGATGGCGGCGTAGGCGCCCTTGCGCAGCAGGTCCTCGATCTCCTTCTTGGAGAACTGTTGGATCTGCGCGGGGCCGGGACGCCGGCGCTCAGCAAAGGGGGCTTCCGACCCTCGGGGGACCCAACTGGGGCATTCTGACCCTTGGGGGGCCCAACTGGGGACTTCCGACCCTCGGGGGGCCCAACTGGGGACTTCCGACCCTCGGGGGGCCCAACTGGGGTCTTCAAACCCAACTCTGGGTCTTCAAACCTTTGGAGAACCCAACTGGGGTCTTCAAACCCAAGTCTGGGTCTTCTGACCCTTGGAGAAATCAACTGGGCTCTTCAAACCCTTGGAGGACCCAACTGGGGCCTTCTGACCCTTAGGGGACCCAACTGGGACCTTTAAACCCAACTCTGGCTCTTCCAACTCTTGGAGAACCCAACTGAGGGTCTTCAAACCCAACTGAAGATCCTCAAACCCAACTGGGGTCTTCAAACCCAGCTCTGGCTCTTCAAACTCTTGGGAGACCCAACCGGGGTTCTTCCAACCCTTCAAGGACCCAACTGGGGTCTTTGAACTCTTCAAGGACCCAACTG